CTTCATATACTCTTTTTCTTACAAAGTGTTTCTTGACAGGGACTGTATCCTCATTCCCAACCGCAACAACAACTGCCTAATTTCGAGAACTTGACTCATCTCAACGCTTGTTTCCATTCCGACTTCTCAGGGATGTTGCCTATGTTTCTCTCGAGCTGTCTCAACCTAAAATCTCTTGACTTGGTAATGATGGTTACTTCTCTTTGCTTTCTTTAAGTTTGGTTTAGCTGCTTAATGAGTGTATAGTGACTATGTAATGTTGCTTTGCAGTGGTTTTTGGTTATCCACATATGAAGAAAATCGCAAGCTCACCCGTGCCTCGATGTTTTCAAACATCTTTAGAGCATGTCGAGGTAAAAATGACCCCCCATGCTGGCCAAGAGAGAAGCCGCAAAGTTACAAAGTTTACGAAATACATCTTAGAGAATGCAACACTTCTCAAGAAGCTTACTCTATGGTTAGATGGAGAAGAAGACGAGGCTAAATTAATTCTTCAGCGAGTTCTCACGTTTCCAAATCGCTCTTTTGTAGAGGTGAAGATGAATCAAAGACCAGCAAAATTTCGGATAGGTTATGGATTCGAATTTACGCCATTCTTTGACCCGATCGCCTCATTTTATATTCCCGCTCTTTTCTAGTCTTTTTCCTTTCTTTTTTGAATAATTGATCCGATTTGTCTCGTAGATTAATTCTTTTGGTCGTGGTTGGTTCTAGCAAAAGTTAAAAAATCGATCTAGCGAACATATACCAATCAGAAGGACATGATTAAAATGGGACCCTTGTTTGCACAAAAGAAGTCTCAAGGAAACCCAAAAACCAAATCTTGTTTAATCATGTCTAAATCATTTACGCACTCTATTGTCTATTCAAATAATAAAACCACTCTTATAATCCAATTTGTCTAGTTTTTTGGTGTTGATTCGTTACAACAACTCATAATCAAGATTTATGTGGATTCTTCTCTTAATAACAATCTCATAAAATAAATATATATTTGCCATTAAAAATGTTAAACTAGTACCATGTTTATGGATAAACAAGCTATTACACCAACTCCAGAGTATGTAGATATCCAAGATCGAACTCATAACACATTTTCAAATCTTGACTTTCGACCAAGTATCCACTCTTTTTTTCGTACGACGATTTTTATATGTTTGATACGAGTAAATAACTAAATATATGAACACCACACTGGTTTTATTTACATATAATTTAGAACGAGTAATGTATAAATTCATAAGATAACCTCAGTACATGTTCGATTTGATGCATTGCAAAGTAATAGATATTAGAGGATTGTTACAGTACATGTTGATTTTTGTTGCTTCTTATTCGGAATTGTCTCCATTTTTCTCATTTTTTTTATTCTCATATTCTCTCTTCTAAGAGATAGAAAGATACTTGTGACAAAAAAAAAAGGATAGAAAGATACTTTACCATTGTAAACAATTGATCATCTGAAACCAAACAATCAACAAATAACTTGTGAATTTTCATAATAAGAGANGCACAAAAATAATAAGACAAAGAACCGGTTACAAAACTAATTGTTGGTTCTTTGACATAATGATATTCATACAATTTTTCGGNGCGTGNTTGTGCTNTTTCTTCAGCTTCATGTCTTCAGCAAGTGTATCCTCATAATATCATTCTTGTTCTTACCAATTTTTCTGCTTTCTCGTATGCTCAAAGCACCCATGCTCGGTGTGTTCTTAGTGTTAGTGTCCCTCTGCAGTGGCTCTTTCAACCACANA